AATTAACCATAATTATCTTATCACGTTTCCACGTTTTACTCTTGTTAGTTTTTTTCTTCTCTATATCATACACATATCACATGATTACACCAAAAATTTAACTTATCAACTGAAAGGATAACCCATGTTGTATAACGGTGATTATCACATCCATATCACATAATTATTACACCAAAAATTTAACTTATCAACTAAAACGATAACCCAAGTGATGTATAACTGTGATTATCATACCCATATCACATGATTACACCAAAAAATTTAACTTATCAACCAAAACAATAACACAAGTGATGTATAATGGTGATTATCACACACATCTCACATGATTATCACACCAATATCATGTGATTACACCAAAAATTTAGCTTATCAACCAAAACGATAACCTAAATGATGTATAACGGTGATTATCACATCCATATCACATGATTATCACACATATATCACATGATTATCACACCCATATCAGATGATTATCACACCTAGTATAATCCTAATCTATCGAAGCCATTCGAAATCGTTGTGATAATGTCTAACATAACCAATTGAAACCATGATCAAATGGAGTGACACTGATATCACATGAGTATCACAACTAATCAATTAAAAACTTGTTCAAAACGAGTAATTTTGAAAGATACATTGAATAAACTTCTTCTTCTTGTCCGCTTGTTGCATGCAATGGCTTCTTGATTAGAGTTCTTGGTCGATTAGAGTTGCTTGTTCTTGGTCGATCACCGTCGATCAAGGTTTGCTTCGGTCGGTTGTTTTGTGATTTGAAGTTATGAGTCTCCTTGAATTCTTAACTGTTTACTAGATAATGATAAGGTTAATGATAATAATGACCGTGTTTAAAAGATTTGATGATATCATTTCCATTATTACCCTTTTTATTTTGGTTTTTTCTAAATCTTTTTCAATTTCAATTTTAATTTTAAAAATCTTTTAATTTTATTTTTTATCACAATATGAGGTTATTGGGTTGTTCTCGCATTCTCATAAATCATAGCGGTTCTCGTTTGAACCATTATATATATATATATATATATATATATATTGGTGATTGTAAACACAATTTATTTTTATATAATAAGATTTGTTTTGCAAAAGAGAGTCATCCAAATACGATAAACTTATGAATCAAGCTTTTTGAGTTGACACAATGAATTTCATTCTTTTTTTTCTTATACATGTCTCTTTATTCTAATATTTCAATTACTCATCAAAGTAGGATATATCAAACTCAACCACAATTAACCAATACTTTAATATATAGATACCTAATTACCTCTTGGTTGTAAACACAATTCATTTTTTATCACACACACATATATATATTGATGATTGTAAACACAATTCATTTTTTATTTTTATATAATAAGATTTGTTTTGCAAAATTACGGTCATCCAAATAAAATAACCTAATGACTCTCAAGTCTCATGAGCTAACACAATATAACATTTGTTTTGCAAAAATAAGGTCATGCAAATAAGATAACCATATGATTTAAACCTCATGAGTTGACACATTGAATCTCATCCTTCCTTCTTATACACACCTTCTTATTCCAATCTATTCCAATCTTTCAATCTCTCACCAATGTGAGATATCTCAAACTTAATCACATGTCACAAACACCTCAATACTCAATTCTCATTGTACCACCTCAATACTCTTGGTTCTTCTTTTAATATATATATATATATATATATATATATATTTCTTGTATTAAATAGTGTTCGATACCATGTATTGTGCGGTGATCAGAACTCAATTTAAGAAAAAACGTAAACTCTTGACTCGAGTGGAAGTGTGATGTGTCTGAAAACTCTGAATTGTATTTATATTTATAGCTCTCATCCAACACCATAAATCACGATTTGCGAATACTAACATGAGATGAAAACACGTCATTAAGTCAACACTTTCATTTTATATATATACAAATGATATAATAGATACTTAAACTATATTTGTTATTATGAAATATACTACAATAATCACAACTCTTGTTAAGAAAAAAAAATATATCATTTACATTCGTTTTACACAAAAAATTTACCAATTGATTGGTTTTAATTTCAACTATTGTTATAGATTTCAAAGCTCCATCATGCTTTTATACATCCATCATCTTTCTATCAATATGAGATGAAAAAAGTCAATTTTATTTCAGATTTGAGGAACAACTGAACCTCATGGTGGCAAGTCATCATCCTTGGTTTCACTTTTATATTTGCACTATAATTTTAATCATTCGTTTGGTTTTGATTCCAACCATGATTATAAATTTCAAAGAGTGTCATCCAAAATAAGACAACCTTGAGATGCAAACCACATGATTTGATACAAAAGCATCCAATCCACATTTCTTATACACTTCTCTTTGTTCAAATATTTCAACTCTTCACGAATGTGGGACAACTAAAATTCAACCACAATTTATCATTTGAGAATACTCAATTCTCATGATGTCATCTCAATACCCCAAGGTTTTCCTTATATATATGTATGTATGTATGTATGTATGTATGTATATATGTATGTATAAAGAAGATTTATGCCCACAGTCTCACCATTGTGGTGACAGATTCTAGTTTTATTTTAATAAAAGTATTGCTAATATTTCTTTTCTTCTCTCTATTTTTATTATAATCTAAGCACCTCTTTTGGTATGAGTGTGAGCCAAATTTAAGATTAGTAGGCAACATTTGGTTGTTGTTATTTTTACTAACTTTTAGACTTGGTCACTTAAATCGAGACTTAACTTAAAAAGTGAAGTGTATAAGAAATGTCAATTGAATGTTTTTGTGTCAAATCATGGAGTTTGCCTCATAGGGTTGTCTTATTTTGGATAATCTTATTTGAAATCTATAACCATGGTTGAAATCAAAACCAACCAAATGGTGAAAGTCATAGTTCAAAGTTAAAAGTAAAATTAAGAATGATGACTTGACAACATGATGTTTGAATGTTCCTTAAATCTTGAAATATGGCTGACTTTCATCATTTCACACTGGTAGAAAGATGATAATTTGGAAAAAGATGATGGATGTATAAAAGAATGATGGAGCTTTGAAATCTATAACTAGGGTTGAAATCAAAACCAACCAATTGGTAAAAATTTTGTGCAAAACAAATGCAAATATACATTTTTTAACAAGAGTTGTGATTACTGCAATATTTATAATAACAAATATAGTTTAAGTATCTATTATATCACTTATATATACATAAATAAAAATGCTAACTTAATGATGTGCTTTTATCTGATTTTAGTATTCTACAAATCGTGATTTATGGTGTTGGACGTGACATTATAATAAAAAATTCCCAGATCCGCCATTGTGAACACGGGTCCCGGCATCATGAACGGATAAAAATCATTTGTTCCAAGTTTTTATGTCTCATACATGTCCACCATATATATGAATACACGTGAGCAGATGAATATACCCAAGTAGAGAAAGAAAGTAAACATGAATTAAATAAATTTAAAATAAATAAAAATCTAATGTATGTTAACTTCATTGATGAAATAAGAATAAAAGGTGTGATTCCGGAACAGTTGCTAGTTCATGACAACACACTGCAAAACATAAGAGTATCTTCAACAACTTCTTTAAAATTTCTTTGAAATGGTGAACTAAAAGTTAAAATAATCAAAAGAAAATTATATCCATCTCCGACATATTTCTCATTTTAAAAGATTCGAACACTAATTATAATATTAAAATATTTCATTTATTTATTAAAATATTTCATTTATTTATTAAAATATTATTTATCAAAGTTTATTAAAATTAGCTAAAAATGGTGGATTTCTCGATCTAAAACTTCCCTTTCAAAAGCAAATTAAAGTCCCATCTGCCGAGGCGGTGTCACATGCGACCAACCATTGTTCAACTCACCATTCAACTCATGAACCAACCCCCCTTCTTTTAAATTCACGTACAATTTTAACAAATCATCAACCACTTTCCTTTCTACAATTAATGGAGGATATCACCACCGGCAACCACAATAATGGCGGATCACGGCCGGAAAGACATGTTGCAGTTTTTGCATTCCCTTTCTCCTCACACCCTCCTCTCCTCCTCACCCTAGTCCGTAGACTAGCCTCCGCCTCTCCTACGGTGGTTTTCTCCTTCTTCAACACTCCCGATTCTAACCGCTCTTTGTTCTCCGATTTCAGCTGCCACAACATAAAGCCTTTTGATATATCGGACGGCATACCGGAGGGTTATGTTTTTCTCGGGAAGCCTCAAGAGGCTATCAATTTGTTTCTGGCGGTGGCGGAGGAGGAGTTGAGGAAGGCTGTTAAGGTGGCCACGGCGGATATCGGCCTGAAAGTCAGTTGTCTGGTGGTCGATGCTTTTTTTTGGTTCTCCGGTGACATGGCGGAGGAGATGAACATTCCTTGGGTGGCGTTTTGGACCGCCGGAGCTTGCTCACTCTCTGCACATTTTTATACTGATCTCATTAGGTCAAAAAGTTCTGAACTACTCAAAGGTAAGCTAATTCTCAACATCTGAACGTACGTACTCATGTTCATCTTTCTTTAAATTGTACTACAAATTTATGTAATTTGTATGCACAGGTTCATCAGCAGTGCCTAATGAGGACGAAATCGTCGACTTCGTTCCCGGTTTCCCGGGGATTCGACTATCCGATTTACCAAGTGGAGTCTTATTCGGAAACCTCGAATCACCATTCTCAACCACGCTGCATAAGATGGGAAGAAACATTTCCAGAGCCACTGCTGTTCCCATAAACTCTTTCCAACAACTAGACCCGGATCTCACCAGAAACCTCACTTCAGAACTCAATAACTTCCTCAACATTGGCCCATTCAATCTCATAACATCTAAACAAAACCCACCATCCAAAGTTGATGAATTTTCTTGCATTTCTTGGTTAGAGAGTCAAAAGCCAAGATCAGTGGCCTACATTTCCTTTGGCACAGTGTGCAGGCCTCTGCCTCACGAGCTAGTCGCAATTGCTGAGGCACTCGAAGAGACTAAAACCCCGTTTCTTTGGTCAATAAACAACGATTCCAAGAAGCATTTCCTCGAAGGGTTCTTGGAGAGAACAGCCGCGAATGGAAGTGGGAAAGTCGTGCCATGGGCACCACAGGTGCAAGTCTTGGAGCATATCGCGATAGGGGTGTTTGTAACACACGGTGGATGGAACTCGGTGTTGGAGAGTATTGGAGCTGGCGTCCCGATGATATGTAGGCCATTTTTCGGGGACCAGCAGATCAATACTTGGATGATCGAGGAAGTTTGGGGGATCGGGGTGAGAATCGAAGGTGGGAGTTTCACGAAACGTGGAACTCGTTCTGCTTTGGAACAAGTCTTATCGCTGGATGGATCGCGGACAAGGATGAATGAGAGGATTGAACCGTTGAAAGAGCTTGCTCATATGGCTGTTGAGCCAAATGGGAGTTCTGATCAGGACTTTAAGACTTTGGTAGATGTGGTTACCACGGCCGCATAAAAATCTATTTATATATCCCTATTCATCAATTATATAATTATATATCGAATAAAATAAATCTAAAATATATAAAATTTCGATATATTTTAATTTAATTGGTTCAATATGATTACGTATTTTTAAAAGTGTTCCTCGTTTACGTTATAAAAGTCAATTTTGAAACCAAAGGAGTGATGTTAATAGTAGTAGCAATAACATGAGAAGTCAATAAGTACCAAAAGGACAAGAAAAGAGACCACATAAGACACGTTTTTACGGGTACAATTGTTCTTTTTGAAGTCTCTTTGTAACCTCCTTTACAACCAACAAATTCTCTAACACAACTTTTTTTTAAGATTTTATTATAATACTTTGAGTATTGTTTAATAAAATTAGCAAAATGTTCTTACGTTTTAGGATTGGACTTTTAAGCACAGTTTTAATATTTGACTTACGAAATGTACCAAGAATATTCTAAATTAGGGAAATTGGTTAAAGCTATACATTTGCTATTCGGCTTCTTAAGATTACTGAAATCCCCCTAGACTTGGAAAATTGGTATTCTAAACATTATTTCGAGTATTAATTATGTTGAACTTTAAAGTTATGGATTTGAACGTTATTTATATGTGTGTGACATGTTGTCATCATTACTCACTTGCAAATCTTGAACAAGACGTTTTGACCATTAAACATTATTTACGTTGCAAACTATTTAGTTTAGTTATTTTGGTAAAATACTTATTGTTCAAAAAAATGTGAAGTGTATTGCATATTTTTATAAAATGTATGAGCAACAATTAATATTATAACGACGTCACATTATTAATAATATCTCAAGAAAATATTTGAGCGAAACATGAGATATGTAATATCGGGGGTTGATCAATAAAAAGTGATAGGATTAGTTGTGCTAAGATTGTTGGAGAATAATGATCAATTTAGTTACGATTATCTAAAATGCTTAGGAATGGTATGAATTATCATGTAGGTTGCGGTTTTTGAGAAAAACAATCTATCGAACACTAACGATTCAAGGTAAGTATATTATGCAATTTTTATGGGATATATACATTATTATTACAAAATATTTTATCCATGATATTTGCATGTGTGTTTATATGCATATACTGATAACTTGATTGTATTGATGTATATGATATTCAAGTACATGCATGATATGAAAGATGATGTTCATGATAAAGATTACGATGACTTGATATTATTACTATAATATTCAAGTATGTGTATAATGAAAGATGACGATGATGCATATGTGATTTATGTTGTCACTTGCATAAGATGTATGTTGCATGTTACGATGAGATTTGTATTAATGAGTGAATACTGCTAATAAATGATATACAACTAGTATGATTCGACAAGATTCGTCCACCGTACGGGGTGGGTTGGACATGAAAGGAGGGCTTGCAATTCCGAGGTCTTGGAGTCCTCGTCCATAGAATACACCACATACGCAAAGAAAAGTGATGAGCCAATGCCTCATTTGCAAGATAATAACTATAATACATTAAAACACTGTTTATATGTACATGTGAACATGAAACCATTTTGTATTTACTAAGCGTTTAGCTTATACTATACATGTATATATCTCAGGTGTCAATTGTCATTAAACGAGTTGAATGAAAAAAGACAAGATTATGTTTTGAATAATGTTTGATTAGATATTTTAATTATCATTGATTACGTTAAAATATTTTACGTTTCCCCACTTATGTAATGAATTATGTTAAACACATTATGTATGTTTGAAAGTTTTAACTTCGTATTTTGTTCATGGCATAAATTATTAAAAATGACGTCACGACACTCGAAAGAGGAAAAAAAATCGGGGCGTGACATTTATATTTTACACCCTTATATTTAGTTATTTATTTTATTTTATACCTCTTATTTTGTTTTTTCATATAAACATATATTAAATAAAATGCATAAACAAAATATGTTTCTTTTTTTATAAATTATAATTGTCGCGTCAATAAGTTCAAAATGAGATCAATATTAAATATTTTTGGATTTAATCTTATATTATTAAATATTATTAAACTTACGAATTATTTTTAATACTTATATTTTATACCCTTATAGTTATAGATTATGCGTATTAATATAATAAAGGTGTAAAATAAAAAAAAATACATTAAATAAATAACCTTAAGGATAAAAAATGTAAGTTTATATAATAAAGGTGTAAAATAAAAAAAAATACATTAAATAAATAACCTTAAGGATAAAAAATGTAAGTTTATATAATAAAGGTGTAAAATGAAAAAAAAAATTAAATAAATAAACATAAGGGTCAAAAAGGGAAATTTTAAAAGTAACTCATACGTATATATGATATTTAATAATATAAGATCAAAATTAAAAAATATTAAATGTTGAACTCATTTTAAACATATCTATGAGAAGATTATGATGGTGTAATTTGTAAAACAAGAAACATATTTGTTTATGTTTTTTAATTAATATACGATTGAGTGTGTTAATAATAAATTGTACAATAAAAAAAAATTAAGAGATATAAAATAAATTATACAAATAATTATAACGGTGTAAACTGTAGAAATATTTTACCCATATTATATGTAATAACTATTTTTACATTTTATATAACATTGTTTAATTTACTTTATATTCCTTGCTTTTTTATTTTACAATTTATTATATGAACACATAATCGTGTATTAATTAAAATAAATAGATAAATACGTTTTTTTATAAAGTACATTATTATAATTCATCTAGTCAATACGTTCAAAATGATCCCGCAATATTGAATATTTTTTAATTTAATTTTATATTATAAAACTTACAAATTATTTTTAATAATTATATTTTATACCTTTATAATTATAGATTAAATAAATAACCATAATGCTAGAAAATATAAGTTTTGAAAATAATTCATACGTATTAGCGATATTTAAGAATACAAGATTAAATCCAAAAAATATTTAATATTGGGTTCATTTTGAACGTATTGACGAAGCAATTAAATTAAAAAATATTCAATATTAGGTTCATTTTAAATTATTTTTCTAATTTTTTGGCTTGAAAACAAACTTTACACATAAACTATCCTTTTACTAAAGTTTTTTGTAACCTTTTGTTGCTTTGGAAAAATAATTTCTAAAGTAACTAAAAAATGAAATTAACCTTCACAGTGTTTTTGCTGTAATATTTCAAGTGTAAAATTCGTGTCTTACGAAAACAATTTTGTCTCGCGTGAATCCAACCTTCATATCCGATACCTTTTACAATTTACTAAATTATATTCAACTACAACAATTTTTTTATTTCGAGAATTTAATATGAATTACATGATTAAAATATTCAATAATATAAACACATCAAATTCCTTCCACTTCTTTTACAAAATGGGGAGTTTTTTTTTAGCTTTAAATTTATAGAAATTTCTAATTCTTTATTCATATTTCACATCAATCAGATTGCTAAAATTCCAACCCAAATAAAATTTAACAGAAAATAAATGACAAAGTTAAAAAAAGGCATAATTGAAAATGGCTACAAGACTTAAAAGTCGAGTATTTATTAATTGACCATAACTTTCATAGCTGAAAGTCAACTTTCTGAAGCACCACAAGTCCATTGGCCTCATCTTTTATTGTCATTAGATAACCAAAATCTCCTTCAAAATAAGCTTTCAAGAAAGCAACCACAGCCCCTCCAACAAACCTCCTCATGGGTTCCCTGGATTTCCCATTCTTACACATACAATTAGCAAACTTCCCTACAATTCCCTTAGTCTCATCATCAAGCACGTCAAGATGCCCATAATCTTTCACAACAAAATAACAAGCTGGTTTACGACACTCCTTATAGAACTCCTCGTGGCTCACCCCTTTTGGAGCACAAGCCGGGAACAATGGGTTTCTTTTTATTTCACCAAGGCCCGAACCAATAACCATTACTGGCATTCCAAGATTAAAGGAATGTGGAACATAAGTGAGGATTTTTGGTTGGGTTTGTTTACCCACCTCCGTTCCATCCACTGGATCGATTCCAATTAAGGCGGAAAATTTTAAATTCAATTTCGTGTGGAATTTATTAAGAGCAATAGCAAAAGCCTCTTTTCCTCCTTTGTTGTGGCCTGCGAGTCCTAGCTTCTTTAGGTCTGCGTGTACTCCGGATGGAAGGAACTTTTGAAGTCCTTCTGGTAGCCAGTTACTTATTGCAACCACGTCCTCGATTTCTTCAGTTGCATCTGATCCTGTGCATAAATGTAATTGTTCCATGTTCCATGGTTCGCGAAGCTAGCAATAAGAAAATAAGTAATTATGAACGAATTTAAGGTGCAATGGGGTTTCGCAGGGTATGTTACACTACAACTAAATAGGTCTTATATCATGTCATATTGTATCTATCTAATTCTCTTAATAAAATGCTTAATATGATTGAAGTTTATTAGACAAAACGATTGTACGTTCGATATAAATGTATTGCAATACATTTAGGGTTTGTATGGTTTGCCAAAATGTTTTTGAAGAATTTGGATTTTGTGGAAGTATAAAACCACACGAACCTGCCTCCAAGAACACCAATTAACAATTGATGGAGTAAATGCAATTAATCAAAAGGATATATACACACACACACATATATATATATATATATATAATAGGATTAAACCTGGGGGACAACGAGGATGAAGCCATGGGAAGCGATGTGATGGCTGAGCTGAGAATAGAAGGAGTTGTAGAGACAAAAACCATGGAGTAAAACCAGTACCGGGAATTCTCCAGCTTCTAATGGTGTAAAAATGAGCAGCGACTTTGGAGTCGTTGCATCATCTGCTACTTTTACAACCTTAATTTCATGTTCTCCAATGCCGAACACATCTATTTTTGAACTTACGCCAACTGAAGAAGAATGAGACATCACGAACCTCCAAAGCTCCAAGTTTTTTAATTTTAATTTTGTTTGTTGGGATCAGGGGCGGAGACAATTTATAAAAAGAGGGGAAGAGACCCGGTCAAAAAGTTTAAAAAACGATTAATTTTTTTTTAATTTTACTTTTGAAATATTATTTCTCTCTATTTAATAAAGTTTTAAAGATTTCTTTAAATTTGAAAATTTATTTTTGTAGGACAACAAAATTCGTACAGAGCCAGAATTAATGTTAAGGGTGGTCCTCAATACCAATTTATATTTAATGAGATAATTCAACATACAACTCCAAATGAAAATGTGCACATAAAATAAAATTGTTTTTTAATACGAAAAGGACAGATCTCTGAACAATATATAAAAATATCAAAACTGATAATCAAAATCCATCCATCAAAACTAAATTTATACAAATATAAATCCAATTCAATTAGAACTCCTCCAGTGCACCACAGAACAAATGAAAAGTGGACGACAACCTAAGAGATTAGGAACAAATATCGGGTTGCTAATGTGAAATGGAACAATGAGGATTTTAATAACCAATGTGCGTGAGAGAGAGAAGGGGGCTGAGTACGTGAGAGTTTGAGACACTTATCTTCTGGGTTTTTACTTTTGGGCATATGAGAGTCTAATATGTTGACGATGGTCTTTTAAATGGACGCAATAGTTATTAGATGTTGGACCATATAAAATTTTGAAAATAAAAACTTCAGGACGAGTTGGTGCTAACACTAGGCTAGTGCTGGCTCTGCCCATGAGTGGCGGATCCAGGAAATTAATGGAGTGGGGGCGGCAAGCATATTGCCATATGGGACTGGGGGGGAAACCATGTAATACGAGGATAAAAATAGAAAATTTAAACTAGTCAACAAACTTTTTGGGCTTTGATTGAGGGTCTTTCCCCCTGGTCCTTAAGGGCTAGATCCGCCCCTGCCCATGTACACAGAAACGTTTTGTATTTATTAGAAAAAAATATAGTTTGGTAATTATTATTGTAACACTTAAGAGGAGGTTCAAATCTGAATGATATCATCTAAATAAGAAAAAAAAAAAATGAATCGTAGTCGATCATTTATTTGAATCATGATTTATATAAAAACTTTCTTAAAAATCATATAAAAAGGCATATTTGTGTATCTGGATTATATATGGAAATTTATTTATTTCTATAAGGATTATTTAATGCATTTAAGATTTTTTAATTTTTTACAATTTTTATTTAAGCATGATTAATTTTCCAATTTTTTATTTTTATGACATTTAAAACAAGCATGATTTAGTTTTTCATTTAATTTTTATTATTGAAGTAATTTATTAAAAAAATTTACAATTTTCTTCAAAAATCACATATGATATTAGACTGATCTAATGATTGTGTCTAGATGATGTTATTACTAACTATTTTCGCCTAATCTTGATATTGAGACATAATTAATTTGATATTGGGGTGTTTAATGGCACTCTATACGTTTGTCGTTAATATTCAACACATAATTGAAGCAAATTACATATCTATTTTACATAACAAAACAAAAACAGGCTCCATGGGATCACAACATCCTAGTGGTCCTATTATGACTCATCATGGGACCATTGTTCTTAGGTATAACTTGAATTTCACCTGACAATATTCATGTTGCATCATTCGTCGTTCACTATTTGACTTCATCGTTTAGTGTTATAGTCAGGTGAAGGAGAGCACACAAGTGGCAACTCTTTGTATTCTCTCATTGTTCATATGTGTGAATTCAAAGCAAATGTCATAAGGTTGGGTTCATGTGAGACCAAGAGTTTTTCGTGAGACCCGTAAGGCCAATTTATGTTCATTGATCAACTTTATAAGATAATGATCTAATGGTTTAAAGTTGTATGGTGACAATTTTGTGATTATTGAGAAGTCTCGTGGCAATTTTGTGATTATAACTGTTTAGATTGTAGATCTAATACAAAGATTGAGAATTGGTCTTACAATTCTCAGGAAAAACCTTTGGTCTCACATGATCACAAATCAAATGTCATTTCTAATGATTTAAAAAATTGAGTCCTGTTGCAAATAGCCTCAAATTAGATGTTTCATCCACATCTGGGAAATATATTTAACCAAATGGTCCAAGT